GTTTATAAGCAAGATAAATTACCAGTTCAAAATTCAAAATATTGAATTCAGTATCAAGCACATGACGTATAAATAAGTATTTGGTTTATAAAACTTTAAAAGAATTGGAGTAATTCTGGGTTGAACTTTTATGACTTAATAACTAAAATACTATATAAGGAATATAGTTCTTTTCCACATATTTGCCAACGTTTTCTTGATGTTTGGCTCCAGTATTACAGCTTAATTATTCAAACTTGTCATGTAATCAAAATATTCACACAGATAACTTTCTTTAGATAACATTACAGATCGCAGATCTTCATGATATACACAACCATTAAAATTAATACTCCTTTTCTACATCAGCGTTATTTAAACTATCTATTGTTTACAAGAATCACTGGTCGAACATGCCTACCTTTTCTATTTTAAGAGGCAAGGAATACATCTAAGATTTAGCAAAGTTTTTCGCTTACATTTAGCTGGCGACTAGTTCACACTTCAAAATTCTGTCAATTAAATTCGATATATTTCCAAATGCAGAATAGCATATGGGATATAAACGATAAATAACTTTCACGTTTACAAAGTGGCGGAGAACATAACCGCAGCAGTTCTGATACATACAGATTCCTATATCATGAAAAAGACACTGCTAAACTTTATTGTCGACATAGGTGCAGAAACAATATACAATAAATTAATAAATCATAATTTCAAATATTTTGTAGTGACATCCTTTTCAACGAAGTATGAATTAAACATTTATCAAAAATTCTCAAATTTTTACTTGCAAATAATTCAGTTTACTTGTATGCAGAGGTACAACGGTAAAGGTATGGTTTAATATATAATAGAATATAATAAAGTTTCATCTTCAACGTCTCCTCTTTAAAATAATAAACACAAACTTTGGTTTCTAGGTCTGCCTTGGTATCTACCAGTTTCAACACTTAACATGTGCGTGTGTCCTTAAACTTAGTGAGAACATTTTGTTTCATAATCAAAGACTAAGTAAGATAAAACTGCAGTTCAAATCTGTCAATGAGTTTCTCATCTCTCGGATAAAACTTCATGTACTCAATCCCCGCTGAGTATATGAAGACAAAAAAGAAGTATTCGCTGTCCCCAAACACATTTTTAAGCACAATAAAATGCACATTCTGTAACTGAAGTGCAGGACTAAATACCCAAACTTTTAGCAAATGTTTTTAAAGTTATAGTAAATTTGCCATTGCAGTTAAAAACTAGACCAAGATAAAAAAAAAACTTATCTACCAATTCCCTAATTACAACAATTTTAATTTTGTCCAGATTAACAGCTAAATTTTATTATACAGAATACAAATTCAAAACACTAGTACGTTTTGGAGATCATATATGTCTTCTAAAAACAGGACAGTATCATCAGCATACATTAGAAGGAACAAATTGATCAGCTGTAGGGGGTAGCTTTAACAATTAAAATTAATTAACTCTAGTTGTATGTTATTAATGAGGAATTAGGGATAAAGATTCCCCTGTAGGTATGTAGTTTCTTACCATCAATACAATTACCACATTTCCATAGAGACATTCTTCACTTATCATTATCTTCTATAAATAAAACATTTTAATTCTTTATGCATTTATAAAGTGATATATTTACTACATGGTTTAATCGTTTATCTGAATTTAGGCCCATACCACTAGACTCTCAGCACTTTCTAATAGTACGAGGCCACCTATGAATTGACTGCAGTATTCTATAATCGTCACAATTCTTGATATCTAGTAATAATCTAACACCCTCTGTCATTTGTCTCACTTCACACGAATACCACCCCATTTCGCCACTAACAACAATATTACTTGCACCTCCAAAAGTTCCAATGAAATATCTACAGGCTTTATTTTGAGTCATGGCCACTTCACTATATCAGATAAAACCCCGACTTCCAGACCATACAAATGACACAAGTTCCGTCAGAGAAGTTTGTAACTTACAATCAACGTTATACCGCATTTCGTCAGTATGTCCGTATTTGTAATAAAGTACTGACACTGTTCTACTTGCAGACTTACGCAGTTCCTGAACAACAAACTAGAGATTAAGAACTCCCGGAACCATTAACCCATGTATTTATATATCTATGTACCGCCACTAACTAAATCATATTCTATCAGAAGTGAGATGGATTTCTATATTGTACCACATTCGTTTTCCCTTCGTTGACGCACAACTTCCATTTTTAACACCAATTATCAAGCAGTTGTAAGACGTGTTGTATAGAACTTCCATCTGGTGCAATCAATGCTATATCATCTACACAAGGAGAATGCACACATCAACATCATCAACATTGACCCTTTATGTAACATGTCCTAATCAAGGTCATTTACAAATAATGAAAAAAAAGTGTGACGAAACTTTGCAGCCCTGTATTAAACATTGCTTCATGTCAAAAGCATCTGTTAGTCTTCCTTTCACTCTAGACTGGACATTATTATACAGAAATTAGAGGGTTTGTCTATAGTTGCTATGGATACCTAAGTGTTTCATTCTTATCGATAGAAATTCACGTCTAACACAATCATTTTTTTTCTTTTCGACAAAACATACAAGGATTATTTCCGAATTTTCCTATTGCTTAAAATGGAATATAAACTTTAATGGTGATTTAGACAGTTTTCTGAAACCGTTCCGTTCCTCCGCTTGAAAGCCATTGGTCTCTAATCAATTGGACAAACGTCTATCTGAAATATTGGCCGACATTTCATACGGAAAAGATATTTTTAAAAAATTCCTCTGTAACTCAAAGGTGACCTAGGGTCTCACCCTGCTTTCAATACAGGGTTTCTTAAATTAGGTCACCAGATGTATGGAACCTGGCCATTTATATATATATAAAAAACAACATGAACTATCAAATAAAAAGTCTACACATTGTGAGTGATGTGATACCGATCTATGTATATCATAAACGTCTAATGCTTTATTACGTTTTACACCAGCATCTTCTACCTCTTTATAGGAGATTTCACTGCATCACTTCATGGCGAAGTGTGTGACCGTCCCCTGTCACTAATTGTCTCCCCTGTTCTGCTTGACGTTTTTTAGCTATGGTAGAGACTGTACCGTAGAGTGTATACATCCTTTTTTACGACGGAATATGACTTGTATGGAGTTTATTATGGCATACAAGAATTTTAAATGTGTTTTATTACCATTTTACTGACAAAAAAAAAAAAAAAAAAAAACATAGAAATAATACATTTCTTTAAATTATCACATTTTCTTTTTGCAAAATTTACATTTTTCACTTACACAATTCCAAAAAGTGTAATGATGTAAAAGATCCAACTGTTGCTGCTGCTTGTTGCTATTGTTTTCTTCTGTTTAGCTACTCTTTGCTGCTGTTTTGCTACTGTTTGCTGTTATTTTGCTGTTCTTTGCTGCTGTTTTGCTACTGTTTGCTGCTGTTTAGCTACTCTTTGCTGCTGTTTTGCTACTGTTTGCTGTTATTTTGCTGTTCTTTGCTGCAGTTTTGCTATAGTTTGTTTTTTGCTGCTGTTTTGCTGTTGTTTACTGCTGTTATTTATTGTTGGTATTGACAAATTTTACCATTTTACAAATTTTACTTCCAAAATATTATTTTTTTTTTGCATTTTACACCAAAAAAATATATTTAAAAAAATCATAAAATTATTACATTTCTTTAAATTATCACTTTTTCATTTGCAAAATTTTACATTTTTCACTTTGAATCTACCATACTTGGGTATTGAAAAGAAGATTTTTGAAGATTTAATCAATTTTACCCCTCTTCTTTGGCCCCGCCCATCATGCCCCTGGGGGCGGGGACCCTTTAATTTACAATCTTGGGCCTCCTTTTCATCTTTTCAGTGAAATCGCTTCAGATGTTTTAAAGAAGAAGTCGAAAATATTAAAAGGGTTCGACGCATGAAGCTGGACAGAAGGCGATCGCAATAGGTGACCATGAGACTAAGAAGGCCTATGTATCAGACAATGTTTTCCCCTTTTACCAGGTTATATTGAAGGATTGTTAAGTTTTTTTTTATTTATTTCGTACGGTACTTAACACTAGCAGTATCAGGTCAGTAGAAAAATTCTCAAGAAAATCAACTCACTTAACGACAACAAAATACCAATATGTCAACATGATTGTTATCCAAACTCAAAGTCAACACAACTGGTGCAAAATAGGAATTGACGAAAGATTTATAAGACACACTTGAAAATGTTTTCGATCACTTTGAAGTACTTGTCTTGGTAAATCTAAATAGCATACATGTATGTGGAGAAAAAAATAGGTGTCAAGAGGGAATGTTTTCGATTTGAAGAAGAGGCAAATGAATATATATGTATGCTTAAAGTTTTTATTTAAAAAATTAACATATGTATAACTATACAAATATATAACCAGTGACATGAATTTGGAGTCAGATTTCAACAGTATTCAACATGGATGTAGGATACTATTAAAATTTGATCGATGTAAGGACAAACGCAATAATATAATCAAAATGCTCTGATTATATGAACGGTGGGTGATCATGGCAAGTCTTATATATTCAGATATTGTAATGCTTTTGATATAGGAGCGATTAGGGATCATTTTAAATTATGCACATCTTGATGTGGGTGATTGAACTATTTGCAAGTACTATTATAAAATATAAGCTTATAATACCCTTATACCAACGTTCACTATCGTTATCAAATAAAGCATGATGATATATGTTATTGCAGTCAACATTAACAATTACTGTACTCTCTGAGCAATTAAATTAACAACTCACACACTTGTTAACAAACTAAATATACACACTTGTAAAACATGTGTTATCACAGACAACTTTAACTGACACACTCATTAACCAATTAAATATGTGTTTTGGCATTATCAACATTAACTCACACACTCATTAACCAATTAAAAAGTGCTTTGGCATTGTTAGCATGAACTCACACACTTATTAACCAATTAAGTACTCACACACTCATTGACCAATTAAAAATGTGTTTTGGCATTGTCAGCATTCACTCACACACTCATTAACCAATTAAATATGTATATTGTCATTATCAACATTAACTCACACACTCATTAACCAATTAAAAATGTGTTTTGGCATTGTCAGCATTCACTCACACACTCATTAACCAATTAAATATGTATAATGTCATTATCAACATTAACTCACACACTCATTAACCAATTTAATATGTGTTTTGGCATTAACAACATTAACTCACACACTCATTGATCAATTAAAAATGTGTTTTGGCATTGTCAGCATTCACTCACACACTCATTAACCAATTAAATATGTATAATGTCATTATCAACATTAACTCACACACTCATTAACCAATTTAATATGTGTTTTGGCATTAACAACATTAACTCACACACTCATTAACCAATTAAAAATGTGTTTTGGCATCGTCAGCATTAACTCACACACTTATTAACCAATTAAGTATGTATATTGTCATTATCAACATTAACTCACACACTCATTGATCAATTAAAAATGTGTTTTGGCATTGTCAACAATAAGTCACACACTCATTAACCAATTTAATATGTGTTTTGGCATTAACAACATTAACTCACACACCCATTAACCAATTAAAAATGTGTTTTGGCATTAACAACATTAACTCACACACTCATTAACCAATTAAAAATGTGTTTTGGCATTGTCAGCATTAAGTCACACCCTCATTAACCAATTTGATATGTTTTGGCATTGTCAACAGTAACTCATACACTCATTAACCAATTCATATATATTACACAATGTGTTCTCACAGACAACATTAACTCACACACAGACGAGAACAGATAACAGATAACACTGTTTAGAGTTATTGTTTTTATAATATACATACATAGTAAACGATAATAATTGTTGTAGAAATATCTTAAATATAATTTCTGATAAAACTTAGTATAAAAAATCATTTAACGGTCTAGAAATTGTACAACAAATATGTTCTCAGCCCTCCTCAGCTGTGTCAGGAACATTAACACTGAGGACTCCTAGTATCAGATCAGTACTGCAACAGTGTATCCTTGCTGTAGATCAAGGATAAGTTTTACAATTAAATTGTCCTTGTGTCATCAATGTGTACATGTCAGTATTCAGATAAAAGTTAGCAAACATACACATTGATATAGCAGAATAATATAAGTGACCTCAAATTTTGTCCAGTATATCTTTTCTACCTATGTCACGAATAGCGTTTTTGAGATCATCAACTGTAGCTTTAGGATTGCACTGCCACCATTTTTGCAGGGTTCTGTATCCTCGTTCCTGAGCACCGCTATAATCATCTCTAATGATGTCGATGTCTGTTGTTGACACGTTTAGGTGTCTGCCTAGAATTTGATAATTGTCGTTAGGCGCAATGTATTTTGATACTTTCTCTATTACCTTCTTTAGTTCTGCGTGATCTTTCCTGCGTTTGCCTGCAAGATATGAATCCATTACCAGTTAAAATAGAATATGTGCTAATAACAAAGTCTGACACAATACTTATTTTGAGGAAACGGATTTATAATATATAATTACATTCAAACTATACTGGGTAAATCTTGTTATTAATTGGCAATGTAGAGGAATCCAATTCCAGTATTGGTAAGACGAGAAAATTACTTATTACAACCTGTGAAATCTCCTTTATAGAAAAAGAATCAAATCTGAAAAAATGTAATAATAACAGTGATGCATTTTGTATAAAATATTGATTTAAAATTGTTTTACCTCCTGCGGGAGTGAGACCTTTGCAGGGTGAGTATCGGATTGGGTCAACCCTGTCAGTCGTGTCGACGGATTCATTAATCATCGTCACTATCGGAGCAGCATCTTCTTCAACATCAGAAGACAATTGAACGTTCTCGTCCATAGTTTCTGTTGGACATTGCAAATTATATACGCTCGGTTCTAAATGTTTGCATTTTGTATCCGAGAAGTCATCATCGCCAATCGCCTCGATGTCAGCAGTGGGACTTATGCTGTTGCTCCAACGCCTGACAGGGTTTGGTTGTGGATCGTAAGGGCGTGCTGCGGACACAACGCTAGAGGTGTTGCACCCAGAGTCGACATTTTGCATTATAGGCTGACCGTCAACTCTGTGAACATATCAGATATCACCGTATCAGCAAAAGAGGACACAATCGATCGTCAACGAAATCAGACATCAAGTGGACATCTGATAAAAGAAAAGACATTTCGAAAAGCGGAAGAAAAAGTAAAGGGTGAATTTATCTCTATATTTCAATTGATCAGAAGAAAGTCTTAGTGCTAATAATGTTACAATCTACTTACCCTGTATTTTGTATCGAGTAGCCATGAATAGCTGTGAACAGAACAATTTGTATGATTAATATACAAATTTTAATTTTCAACATAATTTTCATGCATTTATTTTCCTTAGTATATACAAATGTATCGCTTCTATTGCCTAAGAGAAGTTCACCCATTCGAAAGACGAAAGCTACATTAAGTATGCCTTACTATCTATAAGTCACGTGATAGTACCCACCTCTACGGCACAGGTTCGCAACAAAAACTGTGCTGATGACAAATGCCATAAAAATAAGACATATCACCAAAGCGTTGTCACGGTACAAGGTAAATGCATCTTCTGCAATACAAAACAAGACATGTTTATGAAACATCATGCCCCCTGTTGCAACAAAATTCTTAAGTGCGACATTAAAACTATACTGTGTAAGGCATGTGTTAATTGCACGCTTACTTTTTGAATTTTGAAACACTTATGTCTTCATTGTGGTAATGATTTTGATGTATACTTTCAAGTGAAGATAAAAGGTCACGATCAAGGTCACATTGCCAAAAGAGTTTGGTACCACCAAGGAACACGCATGCCAAATATAATAGCAAACAGACAGCACAAAAAACACATTCAGGTATCTTATTGCCCCAATATTTCGATCGGGGGCATAACAATGTATTAATCATGAATTTGTTTACGTCGTCATGACATGATTCATCTAAACTTATACAGAAAGTTGACTCAACATTAAATCATACATACCATTGTTTTTATAATCTTCATGGAAAATGGTGGGTGGCACTTGGCTTGTTTCTGCTGTGCTGCTGTATAAACGGTAGTTGTTGTAGGTTATTTCATGTCTACGTCACGTACGAAAATTTAAAGATTAAAGACATTTTTATTAAAAAAAGACCCAACATATGACCTGGTCATTCGAACTTTATCGAAAAGGAAACAATGTAAAATACTTTGTTGATTATTGATGTTTTGGTAAAAGATGAATACATTCAGATATCTTACTTGTCTTTGATACGTTTACCGCAAACCTCATTCCTGTCTGGTGCGCACGCAATCTTTACAGTCCGCCCGGAAGCAGCACAGTCTTTACATGGCTTACATTTGAAAGCACGTCGAGGGTTGTACATTCTTACTGGACACGTTATGCATGGTTTACACCTTAGAGCACCAAATATTTCATTAACCTCCACTGGTTCTGTCTGAAATGTGGCGAAGAAACACATAACCTTGGTAACAGCTACATTTATTGTAAATATAACACGAAATGTGCCGAACAAAGACATTACCTTGGTAACAGCTACATTTATTGTACATATAACACGAAATGTGTCAAACAAAGGCATTTCCGGGTAACAGCTACATTTATTGTAAATATAACACGAAATGTGCCGAACAAAGACATTACCTTGGTAACAGCTACATTTATTGTAAATATAACACGAAATGTACCCAACGAAGACATTACCTTGGTAACAGCTACATTTATTGTAAATATAACACGAAATGTGCCGAACAAAGACATTACATTGTAAATATAACACTTTACTATTTTCATTTCACTGGAGATATTTTTGTGTCGATATGAAAACGTTTTACTTTCTTTTTATATTTAAAAGGGGCCAATAAACACGAGACAAAATACACGGACAACTTATACTGAAGGGTGCTGGACCAAATTTTTACTTTATACTTATAACAGTTTTACGTTGTAGGGAAACTTTAGCTCAAATACCCTTCAGTATTTTGTTTTTATCATTTGAAGTAATAAATCATCCAAGGTGACACATTAATTTGGTATGGAGAATGTGACATGCTTTTAATTGCGTTTTAGATATATATAAGATGTCGAATCATTCAATTAAAGCAATATGTCATTGGTCAAACAAGTCATAGAATTTAACCAATAAATCGTGAGGTTTGATTGTCATAGGTCAATAAATAAAGATCGCGTATAGAATTGGTCGTTAATTCTATCATTGCTTTAAAGATTCCAAACTTGTCAAACACTGATCTGGCAATAATACTGGCAGCTCCGACTTCTGAAATTCGACTTAAAATAGCTTTCAATGTGATTGATCTTCATTAGTCCGAGGAACATTTTAATGACAAATTTGGGTAAACAAAAGAGGAAAATGCTGACTGGTTGAAATATCAAATTACACTATGATACGACGTTTGCCTGTAAGATAGTCGAAATATTATCTACACAAATTAATATATTAATCTCAGTACATATAATTATTTAATGGATGTAAACATGAAGGTGACCATTATACCTTGTTTACACAGGGAAATGATACACTCACAGAATTACTTACCAGATTTGTTCCCTCCCCAGCCAGACATTTGTCACACATGCGACATTTATTCTGGTGTTTGTGGTAATACCGATTCTTCTCTGCCAAACATGGCGGATTTCTGAGAACGTGAGCATCAGTAATGGCTATACTGAACATGCTAAGTAAGTAGATAAGGCTGATGTAATCCATCCCTAACAATTAAAAAAAAGATTCGTTTGTAAAGACAGTAACTATTGTCATATAGCAAGAAAAGTATAGAGAAAAAATTATACAGGTGCTAATTAGAAGAGCTGTATCCAGTCTATAGTAACTGGCAACCAATCCCACAATAAAGAAGTATGAAGGGCATGTTTTAATGGAGGTATTTAATTACTAGTTATGATAGGTATATCAGAAGTGTGCATGTCTACAAGGTATCACAGTACAGTAAATAGTGATGTCATATGTATGCTAATACAAAAATACGGTTATGCCATTGGAATTCTAATGAGTGAAATGTCATTGAGCCCAGAGTTACATTCACTGTAATAATAACATTTGAAGTAAAGAAAATGGAACATTCATCCTATTGTAATTTACTATTAATCTTAACCATCCTGAATTCTTTCATTTAAATCTGAAGGAATGGCACTTTTTTGGCAGACGCAGTAAATCTTTGTCAGAACTTGTTAACATCCAAAAATCGCGATACCCCCGGCTTGTTAATAAGTAAATAATATCCCTGTATTAATATATGTTGAATAGGTTTCGTTTGAATACCTCATAACAGCGTAGGATTGCACTATAACTAACTAAACACGGATCATAAAGGCAATAGGTAGTACAACTTCTATTAATAACACACCCGAGTTCTATATATAACTCAGGAATCTGCCCACAGGTAGTGTAGGTCAAATAACATCATTGGCATTTATTTAGTATCAATAAGCAAACTCGTAATGATCAAGTTCAATATGTTCAACCCGTTTTAAAGCTCAATCAGTGACTTATTGGCATAAAGCATCTGAGCTCATTTCAACAAATCGTAATGTGCCCCAATGGTCATTGCGCCGAATAATATCAGCATGGGGGAGAAAATGGAATAGCCATATAACTGTATTATGAATAATATCGAAGGGAGAAAAAATCAACAGCCGTTTGTAAGCTAGAAGTGCACACATATCAATTTCTATCAGGGTTGCCTTTCCTTACAGTCACATCTTTACGTCATAAAATCGTTGCTGTGATCTGCTGACTATTTTTCATTAACGCACTGCTTTCCTGAAACCTAAAGTCTGTCATTCAAAACCATCAATATTTACATGTGTTGTCTTTCCTTACATAGGTATACTGCACGTTTGGGGCAATGCAGTGCAGTCTGGGAGAGATAACATAACTAAAACAGAATCGCGTGACATAAGGATATCTCCGTCCTTAGCAAACGGTAACAGTTATAATAATTTTTAGGTATCGTGCAAATATTGTGTTAAGAAACCCATAGCAAGGGAAGATAGGGAGAACTGGACTGAATGGAAACTGTACAAGATAACGCTTAATTCTGTTGGATCAAAGGCGGATTACCACCAGCAATAAGATCTGAGTCATTTCTATGTTTATTCATAGTTTGTGTGCAAATGACGTCATCATAGTTGCACGGATCAGTGCAACGCTAGTCCTGGAAAGTATTTGCGTGGATCAATATGGGATAGCGAAGACACACCACATTTAACTTCGCTACACGATGTAACTCTAGTGGTACATGAAAATTATGTGAACACATAAATAACAAGAAATATGATCTCTTTACTGTCTCCGTCCAACGAAAATCATTGTGAAAAATAACAAAAGTCAAAAATAAAATCCTGGTGTATATACCAAGAAGGTGCATTGAAATGCCAGAGCCTTGATTTACAAAGAATAGAAAAATAAACAAAACTGTTTATCTTAAAGAATACATAGCTTTGTTACATTGTATATCACCTCTACTGGTACATGTGTAATACTGATACTGTTCCGTAAAAGTTAGAAAGTAGTTACTAATATTTCATTTTTCAATTGTATATCAACAATAAGTTTGAAAAGTTTTCTTGTAGTTTTACATTTTGTTACCATGGTGATTCTATGCAGCTTGACAGAAGAAAGTCATTTGAACTGATTAATGATATGCAATACTTACTTTGAGTACAGATGATTTCCGGTCACTGAGATAATGCCATCGATTAAAGTCGCTGTATGATTGTATTATTTTCTTGCAATGATTCTATGTTTTCATTACAGAAACAGCTGATCGCTACAGTCGTGTGACTCGGCCCTGATTGGCCTAACGGAATCAGCCCAACGAGTTAAAATTAGAAACAACACAAATCTGGGAAATTCCCGAAACACAGATATGCCGCGGCAAGAACATTACATTTATATTGCGTATCGTTATGCAGGCATTTGAGAGTGTGGCCGCACATTTGCTGAGTCATATCGGGGTCACAGTATCTGGAACGTATTTCTGGTAGGCTTGCTTAACATCGTGGAATATAAGTACTTTAGACATACCATAATGTCTGTTGACCGGACGACCAAGGCGTACCACGCTCTGTGTTGTTAGTAAAGTGTCATGTCTCCTTGTTGTTGCTAACTACTGTGACAACCTTATATTCCGAAGGCCTAAAAGTCTGAAGGCCCAATAGTCCGAAGGTCCGTTAGTCCGAAGGCCCGATAGTCCGAAAATGGTTACGTATTTTTGTTTCTAATTTAACTGTAAATGAAATAATGACTAAATTGGACGAGTAATAATAACAAAAATCTGCGTAATATTTATAACAGGTTTAGGCACAAAAAATCGATAGGAAAAATGGCATTATTCTTTTATCTTGTAATATAAAAGTTAAGTGAAAGGCGACTTATATTTGTAAGCGAGGTGAATGTTAACAGAGATGGCGCGAAAAAAATGTAGAAGAAATCATACATGGTAAACAGTACGGGGAATCCGACTTACATGAGCGGCGAAGATGGCGCGAAAAAAAGGGACAAAATATCTGCACGGTAAAAGTTTCGTGTGCCAGTGGGAAACCGATGACGGCTTGTAATTTAGAGAATCAGTCCTTTTTATTTGTTACGAACAACTGTTTTATTGGTGATGTAACATAGCCTACAATCGCGATCAATAGTCTTTCCAAATAGTCTATATTCTTATTCAGTGGCGTTATTTTCTGGCTTGAGTTTTGATAGGATAGATATCAGACGCTCTTTGAAATTTGGGGTAGGGTTTTTCAATTATTATTTTTTCACGTGTTCTGACAATTTCGGCTTTCCCGTGTTACAAAACAGAGTGGACGGGACACAGATTATGTCTGTACATCTATGACCAAGTGTTAAAACAAATCGTAGCCGAATGCACAACAGTAAATTGTTACGATCTTGAGAACTTTTTTTTAATTTATGACCTGTTTCGTCACACTGTTTACGACCTAAGTGTACACAGGATTATTGTAAAACAGAACAAGTTCAGTACAACGGAAACCATTCTAGATATATGTACATGATTTTTTCTAAAAGTTTATGTAGTGACAGGTTATGGTAATTACCACCGGGTATCTCTCTGTGTAACTCCCCAGGGTTTTATCAGTAAAATCATTTAGAAATTAAAATGTTAACTGATGATGGTAGCATTTCTTACAAAGTACTTTGGATTAAATTCTCTACAATGCAGGTCAGCACTGTTTGGAAATCCTGGCACATAACCAAGACAATGACAACAATGAAAGGCTTGGTACACTCTGTCTGCAGATCGATAGAATGACACCCACAATACCTTGGGCGTGGTCGATTATGAATGAATTAACCTACTTCAATTATAGGACTGTCGGCTACGTGCCATTTTAAGCCAACGGTGCACGTGTTACTGTACATGATAAAGTATCAAATAAATGAGTGATAAATTTAGTTCATTATAGGTACTATAAAACTCTTTTTCTAGATAAATATGTTGCTAGGCTACTGATCACGTCGTCACATACAAAGTGGATTGTATACGTTTATACACCATATCACAATTAGTCCATTTGTCGTGCATTTTAACAATTTCGTCTAGGTTGTTACTTTATCTCTATGTAAGTAAATTCGATTTTCCTCGTGTGAAGTCGATTGTGATTATGATAATGATATTGTTAAGCGTGCCCAGATAAATACCACGGTATGACGATACAATGATGTGAAAACAGGTAATAACGTATAGATTAGATCTTAAGTTGAGAGCAAAATAAAATATTATACTGCTTACAGGAGGTTCGATAGGAAAAATGGCATTATTCTTTTATCTTGTAATATAAAAGTTAAGTGAAAGGCGACTTATATTTGTAAGCGAGGTGAATGTTAACAGAGATGGCGCGAAAAAAATGTAGAAGAAATCATACATGGTAAACAGTACGGGGAATCCGACTTACATGAGCGGCGAAGATGGCGCGAAAAAAAGGGACAAAATATCTGCACGGTAAAAGTTTCGTGTGCCAGTGGGAAACCGATGACGGCTTGTAATTTAGAGAATCAGTCCTTTTTATTTGTTACGAACAACTGTTTTATTGGTGATGTAACATAGCCTACAATCGCGATCAATAGTCTTTCCAAATAGTCTATATTCTTATTCAGTGGCGTTATTTTCTGGCTTGAGTTTTGATAGGATAGATATCAGACGCTCTTTGAAATTTGGGGTAGGGTTTTTCAATTATTATTTTTTCACGTGTTCTGACAATTTCGGCTTTCCCGTGCTACAAAACAGAGTGGACGGGGCACAGATTATAGTCTGTACATCTATGACCAAGTGTTAAAACAAATCGTAGCCGAATGCACAACAGTAAATTGTTACGATCTTGAGAACTTTTTTTTAATTTATGACCTGTTTCGTCACACTGTTTACGACCTAAGTGTACACAGGATTATTGTAAAACAGAACAAGTTCAGTACAACGGAAACCATTCTAGATATATGTACATGATTTTTTCTAAAAGTTTATGTAGTGACAGGTTATGGTAATTACCACCGGGTATCTGTCTGTGTAACTCCCCAGGGTTTTATCAGTAAAATCATTTAGAAATTAAAATGTTAACTGATGATGGTAGCATTTCTTACAAAGTACTTTGGATTAAATTCTCTACAATGCAGGTCAGCACTGTTTGGAAATCCTGGCACATAACCAAGACAATGACAACAATGAAAGGCTTGGTACACTCTGTCTGCAGATCGATAGAATGACACCCACAATACCTTGGGCGTGGTCGATTATGAATGAATTAACCTACTTCAATTATAGGACTGTCGGCTACGTGCCATTTTAAGCCAACGGTGCACGTGTTACTGTACATGATAAAGTATCAAATAAATGAGTGATAAATTTAGTTCATTATAGGTACTATAAAACTCTTTTTCTAGATAAATATGTTGCTAGGCTACTGATCACGTCGTCACATACAAAGTGGATTGTATACGTTTATACACCATATCACAATTAGTCCATTTGTCGTGCATTTTAACAATTTCGTCTAGGTTGTTACTTTATCTCTATGTAAGTAAATTCGATTTTCCTCGTGTGAAGTCGATTGTGATTATGATAATGATATTGTTAAGCGTGCCCAGATAAATACCACGGTATGACGATACAATGATGTGAAAACAGGTAATAACGTATAGATTAGATCTTAAGTTGAGAGCAAAATAAAATATTATACTGCTTACAGGAGGTTCGATAGGAAAAATGGCATTATTCTTTTATCTTGTAATATAAAAGTTAAGTGAAAGGCGACTTATATTTGTAAGCGAGGTGAATGTTAACAGAGATGGCGCGAAAAAAATGTAGAAGAAATCATACATGGTAAACAGTACGGGGAATCCGACTTACATGAGCGGCGAAGATGGCGCGAAAAAAAGGGACAAAATATCTGCACGGTAAAAGTTTCGTGTGCCAGTGGGAAACCGATGCCGGCTTGTAATTTAGAGAATCAGTCCTTTTTATTTGTTACGAACAACTGTTTTATTGGTGATGTAACATAGCCTACAATCGCGATCAATAGTCTTTCCAAATAGTCTATATTCTTATTCAGTGGCGTTATTTTCTGGCTTGAGTTTTGATATGATAGCTATCAGACGCTCTTTGAAAGGGGTAGGGTTTTTCAATTATTATTTTTTCACGTGTTCTGACAATTTCGGCTTTCCCGTGTTACAAAACAGAGTGGACGGGACACAGATTATGTCTGTACATCTATGACCAAGTGTTAAAACAAATCGTAGCCGAATGCACAACAGTAAATTGTTACGATCTTGAGAACTTTTTTATTTATGACCTGTTTCGTCACACTGTTTACGACCTAAGTGTACACAGGATTATTGTAAAACAGAACAAGTTCAGTACAACGGAAACCATTCTAGATATATGTACATGATTTTTTCTAAAAGTTTATGTAGTGACAGGTTATGGTAATTACCACCGGGTATCTGTCTGTGTAACTCCCCAGGGTTTTATCAGTAAAATCATTTAGAAATTAAAATGTTAACTGATGATGGTAGCATTTCTTACAAAGTACTTTGGATTAAATTCTCTACAATGCAGGTCAGCACTGTTTGGAAATCCTGGCACATAACCAAGACAATGACAACAATGAAAGGCTTGGTACACTCTGTCTGCAGATCGATAGAATGACACCCACAATACCTTGGGCGTGGTCGATTATGAATGAATTAACCTACTTCAATTATAGGACTGTCGGCTACGTGCCATTTTAAGCCAACGGTGCACGTGTTACTGTACATGATAAAGTATCAAATAAATGAGTGATAAATTTAGTTCATTATACATACTATAAAACTCTTTTTCTAGATAAATATGTTGCTAGGCTACTGATCACGTCGTCACATACAAAGTGGATTGTATACGTTTATACACCATATCACAATTAGTCCATTTGTCGTGCATTTTAACAATTTCGTCTAGGTTGTTACTTTATCTCTATGTAAGTAAATTCGATTTTCCTCGTGTGAAGTCGATTGTGATTATGATAATGATATTGTTAAGCGTGCCCAGATAAATACCACGGTATGACGATACAATGATGTGAAAACAGGTAATAACGTATAGATTAGATCTTAAGTTGAGAGCAAAATAAAATATTATACTGCTTACAGGAGGTTCGGAATACACTTGCGTATTTGAATTCTTTCAAAATTTTCAGTATATTCAATATTTAAACATGTCTCACTTTATATCCTGTTTGTTGTT